GCTGCCATCTTGGTACTAATTGCTGTGTCATTCCTTTAATGGCTGTGCCCTGCCCTCTTCCCTCTTGTCTGATATTGCCTACCTTTTTCTATAGATCGTGAATTCTCTGTATGTCTGGTGATTTTTTATTGTGTAATAGACTGTATGACTCTTTAGTTGTAGGGAGTCTAGATTACATTATTTTCCTTTGAAAGGTATTAAGTTTGGTTCTGATAGGAAGTTAAATTAGTATTGGATCCTCTTGATCCTGTCAGATATGGCTCTATGCTTTATTGTGATGGGGTCTGTTTAGGTTTTGTCCTTAGTTCTAGGGCATGGCCCTTGCTGTAGGATGTGATCCTTACTCCCAAAGCAAGGCCCCTCTGTGGTTGTATGTGGGTGCCAAAGGACTCAGTGAAGTATTCCCACTCTGACCGGACTGGGACTCCAGTGTCTCCCTCTGTGCAGCTTCTGTTGTCTTTATCGCTCACAGCAGCTGCTCTCTGCTAGAGCTTCCAGAGCCTCACTCTGTGCCTGCACAGCCCAGTCCTTGCCAAGGCCTAAGGGAAGCCCCTACACAGACTTCTGGATTCTTCTTCTGCATGGCTCTTTTCTTTCCAGCACCCTGCCCTACATATCCAACTGTCCCAGTAGCCCCAAACTCCCGTTTGTTCTCATAAGCCCAGTAAGATTTTTCACTGCTCCGTGCTAAGGCTTCACCTGCCTATGTTGTGGTCAGTGAAAATGTCACTGAGAGCTAGGGTGAGCCTAGGGCTTATATCATGTATTTTTCTTTTCTCAGCAAATCACAGCTGCCACATGTATTTTGTCTAGTTTTATAGTTGATTCGAGTAGGAGGTTAAGCCTTATACCAGTTACTCCATCATGGCTGGATGTCACGTATATATGTATGTATGTATTCTTTTATCAGAGTTTAATCTATTGGTAATAATTTTTATAATTTATCTTTGATCTTTAAAGTTCCTTCTGTTTTTTATATTTTCTTATAATTTCTTTCTATTTTGGTTCCCCCTAATATAGGTAATCATTTGCTATTACCTTATGCAGTGATTTCATGGACAGCCTTTTAAATTCTGCTTCAATTTACCTTAAATTTTAAAAACATATTCTTAAATCTTTATTAAAGTAAATATAACATAAATGGAGATTCTGATTCTCCTTTGAGGAAGATAAGGGTTTTGGGATCTATATGCCCTTTTCCCCCTCATTTTTTTTTTTAACTCTGAGAGGATCATTCTCATCATTTTTCATTAAAACTTAAAAAAAAATGTAACCCTGCAAACAGCATTTAAAAGTATTCTTTGTATTTTTGAATAGATAATACAAACATATAGTTCAGAAATCAAAAAGTACAAAGAATTTTCTCCTACCCAATTTCCCTGCTTATAAATTCTCCTTTTCCAATAACAACCAGTGTTACACCAATTTTTTGTGCTTCCTCTCAAGGATATTTTCAACAAATATGTAAGCATGTATGAATATAGAATCATACTCTATACATGGATTTGCTCCTTTACTTTTTCACTGAATATTCCTTAGAGATCATTCCATATTGGTATGTATATGGAGCCTTTAAATAATTACATATTTATTTATTTATAATAGTTTTCTATTATATGGATAGATCATAGTTTATTTGATCATTACCTTATTATTATTGAAGTTTTTCTAATCTTTTGGTATTATAAACAATGTTGCAGTCATTATCTTTATATATATATTAATTTGCAAATATAAAAGTTTAAATGGAGGATACATTTGAGGAAGTAGAATTGCTCAGTATTCCTTTTTAAAATTTTGACAGATATTGCCAAATTGCTCCCCAGAGTTGTGCCACTTTGTACTTACTCTCGTCAGTGGTGTAGGATAGTGACGATATCCCTACACCCTTATTAAGAAATGTGCTCTCAAATGTTTTCATCTTTACCAGTCCAATAGGTAGGAAATGTTATTTGATTGCAGTGTTATTATCAGTGAGACTGAACATCTATGAGCTGTTGGAATTCTCTTTTCATAGAAAAATCCTTTGTCAACTTTTCTGTTAGTAATATTTGTCCTTTCTTTTTGGTTTACGGGAACTCTTATGCATTATGAAAACCAATTCTTTGAGAGATTTGCTACATTACATTGTTTGTTTTTATTTCCCTTTTTTTGTGATGCAGAAATGCTTGCTTTTATATGGTTTGATTTATAAAACCATAAAAGAAATCCTAAAAAATTTTTAAACAATCATTTAAAGCATGACATATTATTCAGTCTGTGAGCAAATTCTGTCAGTTCTATACTTAAAATACATCCGGAGCCCCACCACCCTAATCCAAACTACTTTGTCTGTTGCCTGGACTGTTGCAAAAGCCTGATAACTAGTCTCCCTTCTACTTGGCCTGCCGCATCCCAGTCTGTTTTCCATATAGCAGCCAGAGCAGTGCTTCTAAAATGAACAGAGCGTGTCATTTATGCTTAGAAAAAACCTTCAGTGGTTTCTCATCTCAAAATAAAATCTCAGTTTCTACCCTAGCCTCCAAGGTGGTGCATTATCTGATCCCTGTTACTTCTCTGACTTCATCTTCTACCACTCTCCATCCACTTTGCTACAGCTTCACTGTGACTTCTTTGCTATTTGTTGAACCTGCCAAATATAATCCCTTCTCAGATCCCTTATTCTGTTACCACTGCTTGAAATACGTTTTCTCAAGACTTCCCATAACTGGATCCCACTG